TGACAACTTACGAGGTTGCGAAATTGGAGCCAAAGGGTTTTGCACACTGTGATGGAATAGGTAAGCATCGCTCATTCCTATTTTCACTGGATGATGTGAATCGCTGATATTTGTTACAGACATTGGTATCTGAAATGTGCGAAGTGTCATTCAAGCAAATCCAAAAGCACCCAAGTGTGGATTTCTATATCTTACATCTTTGTAGACGAACCAAATATCCCCATTCTTATGAAGAGATCCTTGAAAAGTAAAACTTCCACCTGAAAAATAAAAAACGATTGAATTTGGAAAGTCATTCAGAGATATTCTGCACATTTTAGAAGAGACAATAACTTCAAATTCAATTGCTATGTAGCAGCCTGCCCGAAAGGGAGCACCTTCAATCACCAAATTTGTTAGGAACTTAAGCGGATGATCTTAAATAGCGTTTTTCTGGTCTTGTGAATTCCAGGCATACGTCTAGTTTTGTTCCTTTTTTTTAGACGTAAACGCATAAAGATAGTAAAGGATTTGTTTAACAAACGGTTCAAAAGCAGAGTGCTCTTATGATGTAGAAAAATACCTGAACGCTGTTCCCGAAGCTGTAAATTACTCCATTCAATGACGAACTTTTCACCGTCATCAGCATACATTATTGTAGCATTCTCACCGTGTGTGTCAAAATTGGCCATCAGTGGTGCGATATATTGGGTTGCCGCCAGCCAGCTGTGTGACTGATCGCCGATATATGCAAAACCTGCAGCTGCTACTGTAGCATTTCGAGAATGAAGCAAAAAAGAGACACTCTTTGTAGGGAAAAGCGCATCTGCTGAACTCAAAAAACCAATTCATTGTTGGTATTCCTTTTCAGCCATATCCAAAACGTCGTCTGTGAGTGCAGCACCACAAGGACGGCTATGCAGCAATTATATATTACAAAAGCTACTTTATGGCGTCAGGCCGTTTTTTTGTTTTTTTTTTTTAAGTAGTAAATTTACTGTGCCAATTTTCTGTCTTTCGCTATTAGTCCAGATCTTCATGTCTGTTTCAAATTCGCACTTAAAAACTTCTAAAACTTATCTTGAAAAGGTTCTAGTTTTAACTAAATGAAAACTAACCACCGGTAGCGATTGTAAGATTTCGCATTCGATGACCATAAAAAGGGAAATCGAACTGGATTTTTGCCGCCTAAAAATTTTTCATTTGAAAATTACAAAACGATTCAACCAAAAGTATTTGCAAACTAACGAAAACAGAATCAGCAAAAACGCAGTTAAATAATTCCAACCCAAACATAGTCAAGTAATAACTGTGATTGTGTTGGCACTGTTATCGTTAGTTTTATGGAATTAAATAATAAAAGTGATGCGTACCACGGCTCTCCTGTAACTATTTGACAATGAAGGATGACTTTTATTGCCAACAGTTCCTGGCTTCTGCAGCATCGCCGGCACATCAATGTAATAATCCTTCATCAGGTCAGATCTGTTCGCCTTGATTTCCATCATGTAGTATTGATGATCAATCTTGAATTACATTCCAGTAAGCGTCCATCGAAATAGAAATATTGGAGGGGGGGGGAGGAAAACCACTGCAGCACAACTTCACTGCAACTTATAGTTGATTTTTGGAATAGTATATACCAGTGGGATTCCCAGCTTTTCCATAAGGACGCCAAAACACCTCTTCGCAATACCACACTCAGTTTGCTTATGTTTTAAAATATTTAAGAGTTTAGGCTGAATTACGGGTTTCTGAATTTATTAATCTACCTCTGATGGCAAGCTTTTTGGTAACGAAAAACACGAGGCTGCAACGCATCCAGCCTGCCAGAGCGATTATGTGCTTTGACTCGGAATTTACGGGAGTCAGTTCGTTTACTGCAGGTACGATTCCTGTGTTGCGCTTTAACACGTCGATTCTTGTTGTTTATGTTTTGGCCTTTTCCTGCATATAAGGGTGAAAGACCGTCGGCTGGGATAGTAGTGTTGCATCATGAAACCCCATGGACCTCCAGCGTGCATGATCTTCAATTCTGCATGACGCCCGGTGTTTTCCCGATCAGCGGCGGTTCAACGAGAAATGTAAATTTCGCGACGCATAGGATGCCAGAAGAAAATTAAGCAAAATGCACTAATTTTTGAATTTACGATAAAACTGAACATATATCATGCCCGCGTGCAAGTATTTCGCCTCCACACTTAATTAACACCACACATGGACACAGAATAACTCTGTAAAGTTTCGACTTCGCAGTTTGCACGGTAAGCGAAATGACCTCTTTGTTAAAAATATCTTTGAAGCGCTCTAAAGAATATTCCAAGCGCAATTCAAAACTCCATTTAGGTATACGATTTCCCAGGTGGGTGATATTTTGACGAAATTTCAGCCACCGTTTACTCGTTAGCTTTCGAGTTGGCACAGCGCAAACTGCAAATTTTGACGTGACCGTATACGTGATGCAGTATTTGCATTTAAATCTTTAGCTTACACATGCGCAGAGAATATCGCTGCAAAGTTTCAGCTCTCTGTCTTCTCTGGTCCCTTAGACCGCTTTCTCTCAAAAAAACTGCACATTTTTTCGAGGCGCCCGTACGCGAGATCCAGGAGTACGCGAATGATAACACTAAAACGGGAGGGCTAGATATTCCCGAAGTTTCAGTTTTCTGGTTCTCGAGTTAAAAGTGAGTAACAGAAAGCCCTAACACGCCTGCATACATGCGTACACAGCCTTTTGCCAATATGCATTTTTGCAGTTGCATAAATGCATAAAATGAAAGTCGCGGTAATTCATTCTCTTAGAGAAATCGGAGCATTCGGAAGTGGCCGAATGCCTGCACGTGCCAATCGCAAACAATCGTTAGTAAGGTTGTCGATCGCCCTCTTTTTCAAGTGTTGCTTAGAAATTAACTGATTCCGGCTTTCTGGCAAGTGCTGGATCCGGTTCATCTTTTACCAGAAAATCAGTTGTTCTCTAAGCAGCATCTGAAAGAGGAAGCGAAGGAATCACAGACGAGCTCCCTACCCTACTGCGACGGCATCAAACTTTCGACATTTAGCATGAAAATGGTTTCATCTATCACTCAATCATACCTGACAGGTTAAAAAATTTTTTACAGAAATTACTTTTTACCCCCAATCGGCTGTTAGACAGATCTTATATGTTCTTATGCGTCTTTCAGTGCGGCGCCAACACATATTGCGACGGCTCTGTATGTGTGTATCCGTTTGTGTGTGTGTTTGTCGGTTTTTTTTACTCAGCAACCACGCAATCCACGATGCTGGAATTTCGCCTAGGTGTTCCCTGGCCAAGGGCGGCCTCAGAAACATGGTATCAACTATTACACACGTCTACGTCCCACGCACAAGCAAGTGAAAGTTTCGGCGGGAAAACTGCTACTCGGGAACGAGAAAAGTTAGAAGCTGAAGGTCTAAGATGTTTCCTATTTATGTATGACCAAAAGATATCAGTTTCAGCTCCTTAGAATCGTCTTGAGCTCACGTGCAGGTACGTGTAAGCTTTAGCGGGAAAACTGCTAACTTGGGAATGAAAAGGGCTCGGAAGCTGGGATTTTAGAGGAATGTTCCGTACTCATAAAACATTTCCCTGGAACCGACCGAGCCTACGGAGGGACACGTGAAAACTTCGGCGGGAAAACTGCTGGGCCGGGGAGGAGAAAAGCTGGAAAGCTGGAATTCTGAGGGAATGTTCCCTACTTATGTCCAACTAAAGGATTTCAAATTCATCTCTTTGTAAATATTATTCACTCATTTTTAGCTTCTACAATAACAAACCCATTTATCAAAATTCCCCTT